CAGGTCAACCAGGTCACAAAGTGACAGAAGCCCTGGCCTGACGAGCCCGGTGGGCGAGCAAGCAGGCCAGGCAGCGGGGCACAGTCCTTGGAAGGCACCAAGGCAAAATAAGGAGAACAGGCTCACATCTCCCTCCAGTCAGGGAACTCATGCTAGTAACCCAGAGCTGAGAAGGTCACAGAGAGCAAAGAAGTCTCCTAAATACTTCGAGGATTACATAACATTGCTGGCTAAACAAAAGCCAGGTAACGATAGGAGCACTGAGAAGCAGAACACTGCATAAAATAAATGATTATATGTGGTAGTTTTAGCCCGGGGGAAAGGGGTGTTATGTCCCGAGCCTTGCAAACGGCTCGGGCATTTGCAGGCAGTCCCGGGCAGGTGCAAAGCTGCCCAGGACCAGACAGGCTGTCGCCAGCACCGTGCGCATGCGCGAGTGCTGGCGCGGGAAAAGTATCGCATTTACCCGGGAAATGTCTATATAAGAAGTTGGGAGGTTTGGGGAGCTGCTGAAGCCATCTACTTGTAAGCTGAACGCAGAATAAAGAAAACTGAGAACTTCAACTGCTTCTCGTGTCTGCTTCCCGCCACGGACTCAACACAACCTATCTTCAGGGAATCAGATTGCTATGTTTGATTCTTATATGCAACCTGGATCAATTTAGTTACTTAGTTTGGACTCTAAGTATTTTGCAGAGTTAGATCATCTCCACATGGGCTAGCTTCTTGATCTCTCCTACAGTTTATTAGACTTTTTTTCCACAGCTGTATCTGTTCTCCTAGTGATGAACTCAACTCAGGGTACATTAGTGTCCAACTCCTACTGCTTATTAAGCAGCCAATGACATTTTCTCTGCCTCCCAGTCTTGAGGTTCCTGCTTGCCTCCTCTGTTCAGACATCTGTGCCTTCTGTTGCTAGGAAGATGCATTGCATTCCCTTGCAACATGAGAGCCATGGGACACAATTAGAATCATAGAGTACACGATGGAACAATAGTGTTGAAAAGTCCCATTTAGCTCACGGAGTCCAAAGGCCACTCAGTGCAGGAATCCAAATGAAAGAATTCCAGATAGTCCAGTTTCTGCTAAAAGGCAAGACAAGGCATCCAATGAAGGAGAAGCCATCATTCCGTTGGACCATTGGTTCCATTGATCTTACTGGTAGGAATTTTTTTCTCACTTTCAATCAAAATCTTGCTTTCATGTTGTTTAAACCATTATTTGCCATAATATGGAACAAAAAAACCAACAGCATCTTCTGTGGGATATTCCGTCAGGTATATGAAGTAAAACACATGCTTTGAATTTAGAAGTTCACCTCAGCTGCAATTCCAGATAAGGCTGGGCTGAAAAATCTTCTGCACATAAGTCAAACCATCAATAGTGGCCTGGTGGACCAATAGTATCAGACAGCTTCCACTGTTCCCACCAGCCAGTCAAAACTTTCATCTTGTTTTAGTCTCTTGTTGGCACAAAAACCATAGACAGTTTGGGACAGCTTCTTCACAGCTTCCAAGATGACACCAAGCTGGCAGGAATAGCCAACACTCCAGAAAACAGGTTTAAGATACAGGAGGACCTGGACAGACTTGAACACTGGGCGCTATCTAACAAAATGAAATTCAGTGGTGAAAAAAGTAAGGTTCTACATTTAGGCAAGAAAAACCAAATGCACAGGTATAGTATAGGGGGTACCTTGCTTAATAGTAGTAACTGTGAGAGGGATCTCGGAGTCCTAGTGGACAACCACTTAAATATGATCCAGCAGTGTGCTGCAGCTGCCAAAAAAGCCAACACAATGCTGGGCTGCATTAACAGAGGGATAGAATCAAGATCACGTGAAGTATTAATACCACTTTACAATGCCATGGTAAGGCCACACTTGGAATACTGCATCCAATTTTGGTCATCACAATGTAAAAAATATGCTGAGATTCTAGAAAGAATACAGAGAAGAGCAACAAAGATGATTAGGGGACTGGAGGCTAAAATATATAAGGAACGGTTGCTGGAATTGGGTATATCTAGTTTAATGGAAAGAAGGACGAGGGGGGACATGATAGCAGTGTTCCAATATCTCAGGGGCTGCCACAAAGAAGAGGGAGTCAAGCTATGCTCCAAAACGCCTGAAGGCAGGACAAGAAGCAATGGATGGAAACTAATCAAGGAGAGAAGCAACCTAGAACTAAGGAGAAACTTCCTGACAGTTAGAACAATTAACCAATGGAACAATCTGCCTCCAAAAGGGGTGGATGCTCCAACACTGGAAGTTTTTAAGAAGAGACTGGACAGCCATTTGTCCGAAATGGTGTAGGGTTTCCTGCCTGAGCAGGGGGTTGGACTCGATGACCTCCAAGGTCCCTTCCAACTTTTTTATTATTATTATTATTATTATTATTATTATTATTATTATTAGATGGATTTTTAGCCACTCAGCCTCTCATGTTTTATAGCTCTGTCTTTTCTAACCATTTGACCCTGATTTAAAATGTTTTAATTGGCATATTTCTTTTGGGAAGGAAACAAACTGATGTGGTCATACTTTGAGGCACAATAGACTGTAAGATAAACAGGGAAGATGAGGTTTCTGCCCTTGGCTGCAAATGTCTTTGCCTTGGCTGCTTGTTCTTGTGCTTTTAAATGACAAATAAAGCCATGATGCTGAGTTTGCAAAGTGCTGTTGGTTAAAAACCACAGTGTCAACTTAAGGAGAGCTGGTGTGACCCAAAGGAATCAGTAGGGAAAGCTGTGGATAACAGGGTGGTAAGCATTTTCTTCTGCTGCAACTGTGGATCATTAAAAACACAGCAACAGGGGCAGCAGGAAGCTGTCAAATGGCAGCTCCATGGAGGAATGAAGACTTGATTGGCATGTTTTTTATTGTTACCAAGTAACAGTACCAAAATAGCTAAAGTAATTCTACCACAAATAGAAAGCTGATTTATAGCAAACACCATTGCAAGGCACAATCTATCTTGGAAACATTGGTAAATAATATCTGATCTTTTTTTAAAAGTATTTTTGTCTGTTGCTTGAATCTTTATCCATAAAAACTGATTCCATATTAGAGTTCTTTCACATTACTGAGATCAACTTTTCTGCAATTTGCTGGACAGAAGATTAATATGGAAGTATCTTCCATGCACATAAAATCTCTCTATTAATGAGCGATAATTGTTTTTATGGCCATGGTCCTCCTAATAAGTCTCTCTCTCTCTCTCTCCTGTTATGCAAAAGATTTCCATGTCTGTTAAAGATTTTCTCATTTACAGTTAATCCTATTTTATTTCTTCCTGATTAACACAAGTGTATTCCTTAAAGAGCTTCTTCTCATTGGCCAAAGTCAGTGATTTTTTTGTCTTGTCTTTCAGAAATGGTCCTTCCTTCCTTCCTTCTTTCCTTCCTTCCTTCCTTCCTTCCTCCTCTCAAGAGGACCTGTTAACATTTGTCTATATATGTACACTTGTCCTAGATGTACACAATAGAGGCACACATAGCTTCTAAGAATTTTTTAAAATAACAATGTCATAAGGGAGACTAATCCATTTCTAATCACTAACCATGTCATAGTCCAGTATTTAACAGGAACACTTGATGTTAACAATCACAAGTATACTGCATACAACATTCTCGACCATTAGACGTCAATGATTCAAGCACCAAATCATTTCTGTTGGAGTTCTGACATGCAGAACATTCCTCATACTGTAAAAATGTTAGCTTAAAGGAAAGAAATTTGGATCCAGGCCAATGCATGAACAACAGTGCAATATCAGTAAATTTTACTTAAAAATTTGGATCTTAAAATATTGGGAAAATCACTGAATTTAGACCTTTTCCCTGACACTTCACCACATGCCACACTCCCACTTTCTATGGTGTGAAATGAAATAATCTTTGATCTAGCTATTCTCTGGGAAAGCCTGTGAAAGTTACAGATCTGATCTCCTGTTGTGATTTTTCTTGAATAAATGGTTTTACAATAGTTGCCACTCTAGAGAAAGGAACCATTTTAGAACTTATTCTTGCCAAAATTTCTTGGTGTTTAAGTTTGTTTCATGGCAAAGATCTAGAGATGAAAAGTAAATCTATGTTGGGGCTAGCTGTTCACATCATGCAAATTCTAGCCAACCAGCACGTGAAGAAAAGAGTTAACATTTTTGGTATCTACTTGCTGCTGTCCAGTGATCATCTGTTTACAGTGCAAAGTTGATAGCCCTAAGCACTGGAAATTTACTCCATATTTGTAGTGGCAGGTAGCCCTTTTATGACCATGGATCACCATCCATTTGATCTGTTTGGTAGGTGGTATGAAATTGTTCTACCTCAAGTGATAGGAAAAATAATGAAATGGTGCATCCTTGTAGTTGTTAAAAGAAAGAGCACACAGACACACATTCTGTAAAGTCCTTCCAAGAATTATTAACATTCTGACCAGTATCAGAAGCCATCTTAGTTCTGAAATTCAGAATGATCCTGTTTGATATTTAACCTTATCTTGCCACCTTGTCTGGCTTTAATAGTGCTACAATTTGGATTTTTTCAGTTTGATTTTAATCTGACGTTTTTAAATCATTTTTTAAATTTAGAATAGAATAGAATAGAATAGAATAGAATAGAATAGAATAGAATAGAATAGAATAGAAGGCAAGGCAAGGCAAGAGAAATAGATGTGATTGAATGCAAAGGATGAAAAGAAATATTTTGAAGAAGTGGCCAATATAGAATGGCAGGACCCAGGTCATTTTGACTGATCTTGAAAGCCTAAGTAGGACTGGTCCTGGCTAGTATCACCAAGAAATACTTAGCTTGTAGGGATACTGGAAAGTAAAAAGTAATACCAGAAGAAAGAAATGAAAATACAACTTGCCAATAATTCTGCATATACATGTCCTTGAAGTCACCAGAGCCAAACCTAGCTTGAAAGTGACATGATGTTACAAAGAAATGAGAGGTCTGGTACGCTTGCTTGTTTATATCCCTAGCTTCATTTCCCTTACCTGGTTTCTCTACTTCATCCCAACATGAGTAGGGGTTCCACATCTTGGAAAAATCAGTGTTGATTTCATGGCTCTCCATGCTTTCTGCCAGCCTCCCTGAGGAGCCAGGGGGGAAGTGCTCAAGGTTAGAACTGACAGTGGGGAACAAATATTCTCTAGTTTTCAGATTCATCTGTAAAACTATGGAGAAAGAAATGTTTATTAAAGAAACTGCATCTCACAAATAATAGGATCTTCTGCTTCCTGAATCATTTGTGAGATTATCTAGGCTTAGGGCACTCTTCAAAAAAAAAAAAAAAAAAGAGGCAAAAAAGCCTACTGTGCCATCCCATGAAGAGCCAGTACCAGCTCCTGCTGGAACGTTTGTAATATCTGTACCTCTGAAGCATGTAGCTTTAGCTGTGTGGGTTGCGAAGTAATTGTATAGAAGACCCCAAGAACGTCTACAGTACTCTGTAAATAGGATCGTCTATCCTATATCCACTTTTTTAAGGACAAAAAATCCCCTTAAAAACATGGTAGTTTCATTGAAGAGAAAAGATACCCAGCTGGCCCAAGAACACATGGAAAGGCATGAAGAAAGTGAAGTGAAGAAAAGGACCGAAAGGACAGAACTTCAGCTGCAGAGCTTGGAGGCTAAACAAGACTCTTGGGCTGAGTACCTGGGATGCTATGGCTGACGGAAAAAGGTGGTGGCTGCAAGAGTCTTCCTCCTCCTGTGGATTGACAGCATTGTACTGGATTATCTCTCCCATAAGGTAGCATCATAACCTGCCAGCTGAAAAAAGACATTGCCAATGATAAATGTGACACTTGTCCTGACATAATAATAATAATAATAATAATAATAATAATAATAATGATAATAATAATAATAATAATAATAATAATAATAATAATAATAATAATAATAATAGTAATAAAGTTGGAAGGGACCTTGGAGGTCATCGAGTCCAACCCCCTGCTCAGGCAGAAACCCTACACCATTTCAGAAAAATGGCTGTCCAGTCTCTTCTTAAAAACTTCCAGTGTTGGAGCATTTACTGCTTCTGGAGGCAAGCTGTTCCAATGATTAATTGTTCTCACTGTCAGGAAGTTTCTCCTTAGTTCTAGGTTGCTTCTCTCCTTGATTAGTTTCCACCCGTTGCTTCTTGTCCTGCCTTCAGGTGCTTTGGAAAATAGCTTAATTCCCTCTTCTTTATGGCAGCCCCTGAGGTATTGGAATACTGCTATCATGTCCCCCCTTGTCCTTCTCTTCGTTAAACTAGACATACCCAATTCTCGCAACCGTTCCTTATATGTTTTATCTTGGTTTCAAGGAAATTCCAGGTGCTTCCCCTATATTCAGCAGCCAAGAAACCATATATTTTAATCATTTATCCAAGGTAATGGATTATTATTGCAGATAGACGCATATCTATTGCTTCCACCTATGTTCTTATTGCCATTGTGACTATATCTAAACTGCCGGGGAGATTCTGTATTTGGTTCTTCATTGTTTGGAAGAGAGATTAGACAGGTGTTATGTTAGCCAAAAGGTAAGAAAGATTTAGCTGGGCTGGATCTATGCCTGTTTTGATACAGGCATTTTTTTACCCTAAGGAAATACTCTGGGTTGATTCAGTGCTAGGGTTAAGAGTTAAGAACTGTTTACCTGGATGGTCTGGATTCAGCTACCTGATCCATGTCTGTTGGTGCTGCTCCAGGCTCTTGTCCCTATGTGTTCCCTTACCTGCTGCAGGTGAGATACTCAGGGGAAACATCACAAGGTCACAGGCTAGATCCACAGTCCCCTTGCAGACAAAATGAGCGGAGAAACACTATGTCCTTTATACTCCAGACAGGAGCAAAGTCTAAAGAGCTGTGTGTTGCTTCTTATATCAGTTGCACAGTCCCCCCAACCTTCTCAGAAATTCCTTTAGTTAATTGCTAACTTCTACATCATTCACAGTTATGGAAAAAAATGACCTGCTTGCCATGTTGGTACAGTACAAGTCCAAACAGCCCAGGATACCAATCTAGTCCTGGCTGCAGGTCACTTAAGCTACCTTTCTAAATATGGGAGTGCTTAAGCCTCAGAAATGAGCCTAGTTTTTGCTTCTCAAAGAACTCGCTGGTGGGCTTTAACAGTTTCCAATTAATTTTCAGTAAGATAAAGCAGTTTCTGGGAACCTTTCTTGGCCATTGGCTCATTTGAAATGATATGATAGCATCTGTAGTGGGTTCACAAAATTGTGGTATAGCAGGCATGGCCAGTGATAAAACATCAATTTACCAGAAAGTAAAGCAGCACCTCCAAGTATAGTCTAAAGGATCTAGCAATAGCAATCGCACTTAGACTTATATACCGCTTCACAGTGCTTTACAGCCCTCTCTAAGCGGTTTTACAGAGTCACCCTATTGCCCCCAACAATCTGGACCCTCATTTTACAGACCTCAGAAGAATGGAAAGCTGAGTCAACCTTGAGCCAGTCAGGATTGAACTCCTGGCAGTGGAATGCAGAGTTGGCCTGCACTATTGCATTTAACCACTGTGCCATCATGGCACCTAGATAGAAGACCTTTGTAAGGCTTATAACAGTGGTGGCAAACCTATGGCACGGGTGCCAGAGGCGGCACTCAGAGCCCTCTCTTGGGCACACATGCCATTGCCCCAGCCTCACCTCCCCGCACGACCCCCTCCTCTCCAGCAGCCCCCCTGAAGGAGAGTCGCCCCTGAGCATGGCCCACGCAGAGCACCATAGCCAAGGACATGGCAACCAGACAGCACAGACAAGACTTTGCCCTCACACCCCATCGTGCACAGTTAATGCTGCAGGGTGTGGGCAGAGGGCGTGACCGCCATAGCGCTGCTGGGCTGCCTGGGCGATCTGCAGCGGGCCTTGGAGGCGGTGAGAGGCCCTGCGGGCAGGTGGGGCGGGGGAATGGAAGAAGCAACAAATGGAAACTAATCAAAGAGAGAAGCAACCTGCCTCCAGAAGCTGTGAATGCTCCAACACTGGAAGTTTTTAAGAAGAGACTGGAGAGCCATTTGTCTAAAATGGTGTAGGGTTTCCTGCCTGAGCAGGGGCTGGACTAGATGACCTCCATGGTCCCTTCCAACTTTATTGTTGTTGTTACTATTACTTTCTTTGCTGCCATCTATTGATCATTAGAATATATGCAGTTTAGATTTAGCAGCCTTGACTTGGTGAGAAGTGGCTAAAAATGCAGCTAAAACAACACTAAATTTGAGATACATGTGCATTTGCACATATGTTAAAACTCCTTTTTATTACATTATTCCATGGCTTATGTTATTTGTTTGTATGATTTTGGACATATCTTGTTCATTATCTGGTTTATATCACATATGCTTCATTATTCCATAGTTGGATTGTTCTTTAGATTTTGGAGGCAATTTTAGGCTTTGATTTGTTCTTAGATGCAGTTACCTAACCAGACACATGCCTATTTAATTCACAGCTTTCTTTGCAGGAACAAGCATCTGAAAACAAAAAAATACAAAAACTGTCTTGAAATGATATGCTCACTGAGTGTGAAATAAGTGGCCGTGTGCAAAATTAGAAATAAACAAAAGATTTCAGGAAAAAGCATCTGGTAAATATGTAGGCATAAAGACAGAATGTGTGAATTGAATCATTATGCTTTATTCAACAAAACCTTGTTCAAAATCAGCTATGGCTTAATGTGATATTTGAACCAAGAGAGGAAAGAAGCACTTTTATATATATTCAGTGGATACAGTCCATCCCTATGGGCTACATAAACATATCTTTTCTTACCTAAATTATTCTAGACATTGGTGATCGGTACTACGGTTAATGGGAAAGACTGGATCCAGTGGTACGGGGTGTGTGTGTGTGTGTGTGTGTGTGTGTGTGCGTGTGTGTGTTCAAACTAACCAGTCTGACAAAAGTGATGTCACACTTTCTCAGTGGAAGCCCCACTTCTTTGGTCCACACATTGTGATTCTGATGAACACCGAAAAGGAGTGCAATGCTGCTTTTATTATTTTGACAAATATTGACTCAATCTCTAGGGAAGTACAGTAGTGCTTAGAAATATTCAGGCTTATCCCATATAGAGGTTTTGAACAATGATTATAAATGCACTATCCACTACAGAGCTATGAATCAAAGTTTTAGATTCCATATAGACACATGCAGTATGTGATATTCTTCAAATTGCTGAGACCATCACAAGAATAATTATAGTCATTTATTTCTGTAGAGGTTTCAAGACACTGGCATGTGGTGGCATTTGAAGCACTTTATAAACTAGCAGAGAGTCTGGGCAAAGAGCTACATGTGATGCTTCTCTGCCAGCAACATGTCACAATCATTAATTAATCAAACCCGCCTGAGCCCATCACTCATTGACTGGGCCAGACCAAAGTCTGGAAGGGAAGGTTGCACAGACCTGCCCCCAGCATGCTGAGTCAAGGGGCTCTGAGGAGACAACCGTGCCAGCTTTGTTGCATAAAGGCTTCATGTATTCTTCTTTTAGGCTATATATGGCATTCAACTACCAAATACTTTGTTTGCATTGGTCTTGGCACAAATATGGGTGCTTGAAAACTAAGGTACGTATACAGATGATCCTCGACTTAACGATCACAATTGGGTTGAACATTTTGATTACTAAATAAGACAGTTGGTAAGTGAGTTTTGCCCCATTTAACCACCTTTCTTACCACTGTTATTAAGTGAATCACTGCAGTTTTTAAGTTAATAACACAGTTGTTAAATGAATCTGGCTTCCCCATGGACTGGCTAGTCAGACGGTTGCAGAAGGTGGTCATGTGACCCCCCCCCAAGAAATTGCAACCATCCTAAACACATGCCAGTTGCCAAGCGTCCGAATGTTGATCACGTGACCACAGGGATACTGCAATGATCGTAAGGATGAAAAAATTGAATAGTCACTAAACGAACAGTTGTAAGTCGAGGACTGCCTGTATAGGGATGTGGTAGCCCTTTTGTAAGACATTATCACTTCCAAATGCAGGGAGGAAGTTGGCACAGCTCTTGTTTCTCCAAGAAGAAAGATAATTTTCCACTTCCAGGCTTTGAGGGGTGATGCTTTACATGTATCTGGAGCTGGCACATAATCATGAAGTGTCCGTCTGTGTCTGCACTTAGTTCTGAAAGGGGTTGATGCAAGAATCTCAATGTTCAGGATTTTCTATCAGTTTTAACAAGCAAAAACTGCCAAGGGATGAGTGAAACTAAGGGTAATCCACAAAGTGGTCAGGATAGAGAAGGAATTCTACCCAAGAGAAGAAGAAAGCAATGGTAACTCATTCCTGCACTCTTGCCAAGAAAACTGTATAGATATGACTAAAAGGTTTGGGTATGTTTGGATACTCTTCAGACTGCCCATATTGTAAGGCATTCTTCTAATTACTGGAGAAGAACAGTGAGTGAACTTTCATCTGTAAAACTTGAGGGGAAGTGACCAGATCAAAGCCACAAGGCAGCTGGGTCCCTGATGGTTCCAATATTTAAAGAGGAATTTCTCATTTCCCAGGTACACATGTAACTGGGGCATGGAATTTGTTAAGCATGAATCCAGAAACACTTGGAAGTTCTTAAGGAGAAGATTAGTGCGCTAAATTGAATGTTTTAAATACTGTAAAAGCAAATTGATGCACCATAAATGGACACTTTGAAATCAAAAGATTCCACAATATATGTTCAGCTATAATCTGATAAACAACGGGATATTTATTAGAATTAATGAACATTCATGTTAAATAACTCTAAGTGTCTATTTATGGAAGAAGTTGAGAAATCCTCTGGCAAACTGAAAGAGATTCTAAATGCAACATTTAAATGCAACATCTAAAAAATACATCTATTAATAGGTGATTGGAATGAGGAAGAAAAGGAGGAACTTTAATTACAGGAATATTTGTATTAAGAAAACAGAAAGGTTAATAAAGCAAACAGAAAGGTTAATAAAATTTAGCCAAAGAGAATGGAAAGTCTGCACTGAAGCCCTTTAAAAACAGAAAGATAGAACTTTTAAAAATGAAGAAGGAGAATATATTCTCTTCTAGAAAGGGCAGTATGAAAGACAGCAGAAAAACTGTTAAAGAGAAAAGCACCAGGGTTAGATAAAATGCTCACTGAACTGCTTAAATCTACAAGGACACAATTAAAGTGCTAATAGCTGTGTGTCAACAAACATAGAACAAATCTGATCTAAAGACAACTTGATTTACATTTCTTCCCTGAAGAAGAGATTGCTTGGCGAATATATGTTGGCATTTGTAGCTTTGGCAGCACAAGGGGTGACACAGGAAATGGCAACGGCAACATGATGGTTTCCTGGCCTTTACCAATGATGGACAGTGCAGTCTGGTGTGGTTTATAGTCTCCAAATTAGGCCTGTGACTCCCAAGATAACATGAAGTGTCCAATCATTTGGTGATTTGGCAGAGTTTGTTCTGGACTTTCCTTAAGATGCCATTTTGTCTCCTTCATGGTCGAAATCAAAAACAGACGATGTGGTGGTCGTTTCAGGGCCATTTGGGGGCCAATTAAATATGATGTGCTAATGCCCCCTGGTGGTTGGGTTGGTAATATCTATTTAACTTGTAAAATGCATATCTTGAAAGAAGACCAGAATCGACAAAGATGACAGCTGGAATCAACACTGGAGGGCAAACCAGAAATAACTTGGGATATTCTGCCAATGCCACTTGGTTAGCCTGAAAGTAAATAAGATTTGGAAAAGCGCATTATAAAAGTAATCATGGGTTAAATTAAATATTAAGAAAATTAAAGACTGGAGGCTTAGGGAACTTACAGATTAAACAAAGAAGTCATGGCAATAGATTAATTTTGCTTCTTAGGTTCAAGAATCCATTAAGATGGACAGGGTACTGTAAAAGTAAAGACAAAATTCATGCTAGGAAATAAGACAATAATACCAAAAGTGTTAACGGTATTTCAATACAATGAGAGTAAGAAAAGATCAGGATAGTTAAAAGTATGAAAGCTGTGCACTGAGAAAGGGTAAATCCACACAGCCTTCTTGCCCACTTATCTTGTCCAAAAGCCAATGTCTCTGTCTCTATCCCCACAGCTAGCTCTGTTTTTTAAAAGTCTAATTCTTCAGTAGCACATACTAAGCAACTGCACAAAGGACTACTTGATGGCAGCCAAGATATTATCTCTTTGCTGCCATCTAATTGAATGGCTAATTCATGGTTTCAAAGATTTTTTAAAAGTTTACTTGGTTGAGAGTATAACCAAAAAGCAATTTAAAAAATACAGATATGACCCAAGAGAAAGAAGAGAGATACATGTTAAAGGTATAAGGAGACAACACAACACTAAGGGTGTTGTGTACACAGCAAGGGCAACTTTTTTTTTTTTGTTCTGGCTTAGACAGGAGAGGAACCTATCAAAAGCAGCTCTGTGGATGCAACCAAGAGAAGGAAGAGAGATGCCTCCAAATGACAGATTTGTAGATGTTAATGCGGATGCTAAGAAGAACCAATTAATGGATCCTGAATGTAATAAAGATCCCTTGATGTGATGATTAATGAGCAGAAAGTTACATAATGTGAGCTTGAAATGAAGCAAGGGTGGAGTGGAAAAGCAACTATACTTGACAAGGCTGAGAGAAGGAGACAATAGTGGGTAGATGGGAGCATGTAGTCTCCAGGTATTGAATCTCTCTCAATGAAAACTAACTTAGAGATAATGAGACATTATTCATTAACTATAAGGAACGGAAAGGTCCTTCTCTCCAAATGCACCCCAGATACACTTGTGATCACTATTGGGTCATTCCACAGCCATCTTTGCAGAGACACTCCTGATACATATCCATCAGCATATAAAATATGAAAGGCAAAGTCCTTGAACAAATTTAGACTCTATTTCTGCTCTTACACTTCAAGAGGCTGTCATCATGCAAGCAGCACCTGCATATCTGCAACAACTGAAAATAAAGAAGTTCAAATTTTATTTACCTAACTCTCAGTCCACTGATAGAACAATTAAACATTGACAGCTGGATAGACCCACAATGACATCCACATGAAGTTGGAGCAATAATGCAAAGCCTAAGAGCAGCACGACTCCGTATTTTTTTTACAGGCACCAAGTAGTTCCTGCTCCTCAGGTCTGCTTCTGCTGAGAGGCATCGGGTGGTGGGACAGAACAGGAGCCCTGAGGAGCACAGCAGAATGGGACAGATTCAGAGGCAGGAAAAACAGTTCAGAAATCTCCACCATCTCTCTCTCATAATACCTGACAAAGTGAATATTTTGAATAAAAACTTAAGTGACAGTAAAACATGTCGATTGCAAAGGTACCTTCATTTATGATCATCTCGGACATTTTTTCTTGATATGAGAATTTGTGTATCACAGGAAGGAAAGTGAAGACCATCTTCTAGAAACTTGCTTAGGTGGATTGTTCTACCCAACTCCTTCCCTGGGCATTACCACCCAGAACTGTATTGAGTGGGAAGGATCTCTGAAGGGAAAGGGAAGGAGGCAGGTCCCCTGAGACCATCTCAGAAGCTTGTTCATCTAGACCAGGGGTGTCAAACTGCCGCCCGCAGGCCGGATGCATCATGCCAAAACCACGCCCACCCCATTGCTGGCAATGGGAAAAAAGTTGTGATACGTCACGACACGTCACGTGACGTATCACGAGTTTGACACCTAGATTCTTCCATCCTCTCCATAAGATCATTATAGTCACCTTCCTATGGAAAGGATCCTACAAGTCTGCTTGTTTATTTTATTTTATCTATTTATTTATTTTATTTATAATATGTATTCTTATTTTTAAAAAATTTAAACATTAATGAATAATTGATTCATTATTTTTAACTGTGTGTACTGCTTTTTGTTATGTAGGTTTCACAAATGTCTACTAGCATGGAAACCTGAAACATAACTCTACTACCACCTATCAGATTCCTCCTCCCACATTCTTCCTCTGTTTTTTGAATCCACAAAGCTACCTTCTTAAGGACTATCCCAAATGCTGATATGTTGCTCATCTAACTGCTGAAAACCAAGTTGAAATGTGTGCATTTTTGTCAGAATCATACCAAATCATAGAATCGATGTGTGAGAATTCTAGAAGAGGCAAAGAAATTAACCTCGGTACATGAACTTGTATCAGGATGGAGATGAGTAGATTCTAATTATTTGATGATTAACATACCATGGACTCATTTTCATCCATCTGATTGGGTAATGACTTCTGTGGAGTGTAGAAGGCCTGTAAAGAGAGTCAACTCTGAGTTGAATCAAGTAAACTTGACAGAAATTATGTCAACGCTGTTAATATAGGATATTATTGCTTTGACAAAATATACAGAACTGTCTGGTATTTTTAGAGTTAATTCAGATGACAGAGAACGGGAGGAGATTTATAAGGAAAGCCCGGGAAAGGAACGGAAGTGAATCTTTGCCCTCCAGGCTAATTGGAAGATGTGACTTATGACTGCAAAATAAGGGAGGGGTTTAGCAAGAAAAGTTAGACACAAGCAAGGGGAATTCAGATTCTGGCATAAGCCATACATGAAGTGCTATCAATCTGTTACACTGATAATAAAGGCTTTTAGGGTAAACCTTGCCTGGAAGTTCTTTGAAGTGTTTCATTAGTCGGAATCATGACAGATTATGTGAATAAGTGCAAGGCCTTCCCATCCAACCATACAGGTTAACTGGGATGGGGTCTTCTTTTGCCTGCCAGCCCCGACCTGGTGTTCTACAAATGGGCTGGGATTGCAACTCTCAAAGGTTTAAGGTTTCTGGATGCTATTGAGGGAGAAGTTGGAGAAGCTTCTATTGAAGTTTTGTTCTGAAAATATGTTCTGGACTGAATTTCTGAACATCCAATTGCTTTCAGCTGACATAGATTTTGTAAATCTATACGAGATGCAATTGTATGGAAAGAGGCATGTATTAAATTAGGGGCCTTCAAACTTGGCATCTTTAAGACTCAGCATGGCTGGTTAAGGAATTCTGGGAGTTGAAGTCCATAAGTCTTAAAGTTGCCAAGTTTGGAGACCCCTGTTTTAAATGAACAAATTAATAAACAAGCAAGCACAACCAGATGCATCATCTGCTACTGATTCTTTTAACTGGGCAGTCATAGATCTTAAAATACTCTGAATTTGGGTGGGCAAACCAGGTGCTTGTGGACATCAATGTGCTCATAGGCATCCCCCTTAGCAGCAGCTATCTATCCCACCTGACTTAATTTTTAAAATGACTTTTAACTGGGAAAGGAAACAAAAGAAGGCAACCATGCTGCAAAGCAAAGCCTTATTTTCAAGCACTATATTTATTTCTATATGTGTCTCCTGACTCATGTAAGACCCACAAGCAAATGGTGAGCAATTGAAGCTCATTCTGAGGCTTGAAACTGTGATTCTACCTGCGTGGAAAGACCACAATGGTAAATTGGATTTGTGGAAAGCAGCCTGAATAGTTGGATTTTTGCTAAATGGATGGGTTGTTTTCACTGGCCCAGCCCACTTTAGCAGCCATTTTATAAATGGGAAAATTTTTCCCATGGCATCTACTTGTGAAAATGGCTCTAAAATTTCCAAAGGATTCCACTGGCACAAAAGGCTTAAGGTATTAAGTTAAATTCAAAGCTTTGGATTCTTTCCATTCTCCTCTCCAAAGAAGAAAGGTTTGGTACTTCAAGTAACAAAGACTTCAGCCTCTGATGTCAGACTCCCTTTTGGCCTTGAAGTTTCCCAATCACCTCACAGAACAACACTGCAAAAACAAAGGGGTAGCTCAGAGGGGCTGACCACCCCATTAACCTGGCAAACAGGGCCTAGTCACCCAGGATCAAGAGATAGTGAATTCAGGATCACTGAGGGAAAGCAAAATGGCTGATGGCAGACCTTAAGTATAGTCTGCAAGAACACCAATCCAACAGCCTCAGTTAACCCAGTTGCTGGGCTTGTTAATGAGTATCATCCTTGCAACTGAATCAGTGGACTCTGCACATCCTTTAAATTCAGACAACCTCACCTGATGTTTTGCTTCTTCTTGATTTACTGGGTCCCCCTGCCTGCTTCTAGACAGCCAACAGACTACTTGTGAATCTCAACAGGCATGGTGGAATCTTGGTCTAAGTGGACTTTGGCTGGTACAGTTACCTTCTTGGCAGGCTGCATCTCCTCTGTGGATTTGGACCAAGCTTTCACTCCCTCCTTCTGAGGAGAGCTGGGCTGCTCCTGGGGCACATCCAAGGGGGGAAATGTACTGTATTATTATGTCATTCTCCTGCGCTGAAACCTGCATAATGCCTGATTTGATACAGCACTTCTGAAAAGGTTGAGGATATCATTATGGAATCTCTTTCATGAAGCCACTTCTACACAGCCTGTCTCTGCATCACTGCATAGGAATCATATTAAGAAAGGCTATGTTTACAGGTCAACCCTCTTTAATTAATGAGAGAGATTCACACTGTGCCCACATAATTCCAGGGTTCAGATGAATACCATAGTAACATAAAATCCTACCACATGGAGTCATCTCCTAAGCCACACACAGCAGAAGTGACTTTCCTGCATTGGCATTTTTCATAAAAGCTTGGGTTGGGTGTTCTCTCTTGAACTACTATATAAAACGATAACGTGCTGCAATGTAGCAGGCCTTTAGCTCAGTGTGAATGACAGCAGCAGTTAGGTGCATGTAATATCTAAGATGACCTGCAGAAATACAACATTACAGAGAACACTGGAGCACAACTCTCAACTTGTGCAATAGTTAACTGATGGACATCATGTCCAAAGTGTAAACTGAATCCCAGCAACCCTGATCATTATATAAACAAAATTTGGATATGACCAATAATTCACGTTTTGGAGGTATCTGAGGGAGCCTCTGGATGGAAACAATTGTATCATCTAGTAGATAGGAAGTGAAGGCTGAAGAACTGTGGATGGCTTGACAGAAAGTCCAACAAGTAGAACTCAACACCCCATTACTCTTTGTCAACGTCCTTGCTCCTTTACTTAGTTGATCAAAATTTAGCAATGTGAGTTTCCTGTGACATCCACCTGCAGTTTCCTAGTTTCCTGTAGCCCCAATAAATTAACCTCATTTCTGTTTGATATGGAGCTCAAGTAGCTCCAACATGAAAGAGAGTCCCCACCCTCATTATTTTTTAATTATTATAATTTATTAATTATATAAATGTAGATACTAGAATGTTAGTATCCTGTGGTGCAAAGCACTTTTATTTCCAAAAAAACCCCACCATTGAATTACTGTAATTTTGGAGGTGACTGCATTTAAATATGGCTGTTGCCTTCTATGACATTTAGAAGCATACTCAAAAAACGCTGGGGACAGCAAACAGCATTCTGGAAAAGAGATGGAAAGCAAAGAAGTGGTTTTCGTGTGTTACCTTTGGTGAAATGTGTATTTGTGCTCTGTCTTATTTGTTTAAATGGTTTGCCTGTTACATTTTTGTATCGGCTAGTTTATTTTATGGGTGTGTAATTTTCCTTAGAATCACCAGTTTGCTTTCTATGAATCAATTGTGTGATTTGGCTACCTCAGGCTTATACTCCATTTCTTTGGCCAAGTTACTTAGCCAAACTCAACATTTCCTTCTTATGAAATGGGTGTTGGGAGCAGAAAACTAGTTTTTATGCTTTGAAGCTTAAAAGCCTAAGCCTCTACTTAGATTGTTGGGTCAGCTGCAATGGCAGATAGAAATGTGCACAACTCTTTCTCTATATTTCAGATACGTCCATTAACATAAAAATGTTGGAGGTCTAATTTTACACAGGTTCACAGTGGATCTTTAGACCACAAGGAAATGATCTATGCCAATCCTCATGTTTGAGATCACAATTTATTATAGATATCTGAGATTTAATCTAAGAACCTTGGCATGCTAATCATATTTATTTTTTCTCTGAGTTCAATTGCTTCCTAAATACACTGAAACATGGAACTGATCCAATTATAATATTTTTTGAAGAATACATTAGCTTCCTAGTAGATTACATTGAGTAGAAGAATTTACACACCTAATGATAGTACACCGTCTTTGGAATAGACAACTGGGGTCTATCTTTTTAATGGCTTGTGACATCAGTGAGACCTGATGAGTATTACAATAGTGGCAGTATAGGAGCAGTGTGTGAGGAATAGCCTTTCTGGGAAGATTTATCCTGAAACATAATTTTGGACCTCCAAAGTATTATATGTTTCCTGAAATACCTTTGAGTTCAGTTCCATGGCTCTTTCCTGGTGGATATTTTGAGAACTCTCTCTGATCAGACAAAAAAATTCTGTAAAGAAGAGACAAACCATTGGAGAAAGCATCATTTTCCACGATCCATTTTGCTTTTGGGGAGAAGCATAATGCACTTAGGAGGAGAAAGGAATCTTGTAGAATATTAGCAGAAGAAGAAACATAAATTAAATTGCCTATTTTCTCAGCCAGCTTTTATGCATCGTGAGTCTGGAGAATGCCAATTCCTTATAACAGAAGTGCCATTTTAAGTAAGCTCACTCATAACACCTCAATGCACAGTTTAGCACTAGTCACAAATTAGATGTGCTGTGACTAAGGCATCTTATCTGTCACCTCTTGAAGAATGAGATTTGCCTTACATTGAGAATTGGGTGATGAGGAAGACATGAAAGGAGATTTTTACCGTATATTCATATGAATCATTCATCTGAACATATATTTTTGTTTTTTGAAGAATGAACTGATTGCTTGCCAAATAATAAGGTTGAGCTTTAAAAAGCCAAATGCTGTATGTAACCCAGCCTGGAATAAGTCATATATGTCCCATTGACTTGTAATTTAAACATACGTGCCACATTAATTTGCATGGGAAAGCTAAACACAGAGTTAGCTCCCCATGCATTCATTGGAAGATGGTGGCATAATTTTGGTTAAAATCTCTATCACTGTAAATTCTGTGGGCAAAGCTGCAGCCTTCTCTATCCACGAGTCTTTTAATTAAAAAAGGGAAGTTTTAAATTCTGACTGATAGAATGGGAGGGAGGAAAACTTATTGAAATGAAGTCCTCAATAGGAAAATGTGGGGTGGGGGTAAGAGAGAGAGGACCTGTCTTTCCTATCTTTAGCTATTCAAACCACTCATTAAATTCCTTGTCTGGGAATATGTTTTCAACTCAGGTACCAAGTCGTTCAAAAATGTTGTCTTTTGGAGATGTGGAAGCTTGGATGCAACCTATTTTCATATTCGGTGGACTTGTACAGATATAAAAGCTTTTTGGATTAAGATTTGGTGGAATATTCAAAAGATTTTTAAGAGAAAGATAAAGTTTACGCCGCAATTATTTTTGTTAGGTATTATTGTAGATTTTGATGTTAAAGAAATTAATTTGATGTTGAATCATAACAGCTGCAAGATTATTGGTGGGGCAATATTGGAAGAAAAATTCTTTGCCTACTATCGAAGAATGGATACTTAAGGTGTCTAACTTAGCAGAAATGGCAAAATTCTCCACTTATTTGAAGGATTATTCACAAGAAAAATATATTTCGGTTGGGAGAAGATGGATTGATTATATTCAGAATAAATATGAGACTGAAAAGTATTATTTAGCTTATGAGTAAATTTTAGATTACCATTAATAGTTTAATATATTATTTTTAGTATTATGGTTTAATTATATTATTATTTTTGTTTTTAATTTGTTAATATTTATCTTGAAAAGGAGTTAAAGTATGTTATGGATTTGATTGTTAATATAGTTGGGTAATGTTAGTTAGATTATGATTGTTTATTTTTAACCCTGTAATCAGCTTTGGGAAGTAGGGGAGGTGGGAAGGGGGGGAGGGATTTGGGATATATATTGTGTAAAATTTTTAAAACTTTTAATAAAAAAAAGAATGGAAGAAAAAGAGAACGTGATTAAAACAAATAAAAAAGGAGCATTGAAATAAAAAAAAATGTTGTCTTTTGGAGGGTCGTCACAATGGCATCAAAGCCCCCAATGCATCTGTCGGGGCTCCACCCAGAAGCTTGCTTGCTGCTCTTTTCTTCCTCTTCCCTATTTGTTTTCATCCTATGCAAATCTCTCCTGCAGCAGCTTCCTTCCTATTTGTGCTAGGGATGGTGATACAGTAATTGTACCCCAATATCTGAGGAACCCCCACTTGGGAAAGCTGCAACTGAAGGAAACGTTTGACTTTTCTTCCGTTTCTCGTCAGAACGAGGAATAATCGCGATGGAATGTGACCGGGCAGGGAGACCTTCGTCGGAAAGCAAAATCCCACCGATATCTGGGGCTGTCCGGAGGCTCTCAGGTAGCCCAGTGCAAAACAATCCAGTAATTAAGGCGTCGGGCTAACGACAGCAGAGCACAGGACTCCATGAAACAGAACAGACATGCGGTCAATCTGCCCAGCAGCAGGCGGCAGCCCTCTGGGTAACAAAACCCCTTCGTGGACTCATAACCAGACCCCAAGCGGAATTCTCCGCCATTTCGTGCCACGGCTCCCCCTAGCGCTGAACTGCGGAAACGTCAGCGCACTGGAGCTATTGTAAGTGACAAACCCAGCGCCCTCTATCTGGTTGCGCTTGGCCTGCAGGATCAGCAATGTTAACCGCCAGAAGTCCGTGGCGTGAATGAACGGCCCTCCCGCTTAACAAGCATACGTGAAGCCCACGGCAGCCACCCCACTCCGAATCAGCTTATCTTCGCTCACCTGCCTGAATGCCTGTGGCGGCTTTCAGCGGCTCCCACCGCCCAGGACGGAATCTGCAGTGATTTCACCCTTCCTTCCTTCCTTCCTTCCTTCCTTCCTTCCTTTCCTCGCTGCCTCCTCCCCAGCTCCTCTCATTCAGATGTTGAGGAGCCAACATATGCGGTTAGGGGCAGCCAATGGGGAAACAACGGCTTCCGCCGCCGTTCTTAGCATGCGAAGCAGCGTCTCCACCAGCAGTTCCGTCTTTAGGGGGCAAAGGGGAAGAAGGCTCTTTCTAATCGGATCCTGCTCCTTTTTTTCCTGTACAGGTAGTCCTCGACTTACGACCACAATAAAGCCCAAAATTTATGTTGCTAGGTGAGATATTTGTTAAGTGAATTTTGCCCCATTTTACAATCTTTCTTGCCACAGTGAATCACTGCAGTTGTTAATTGGTAACACAGTTGTTAAGTGAATCTGGCTCCCGCCCCCCCGTTGACTTTGCTTGTCAGATCTCAAAAAGAGATTGTGTGATCCCGGGACAGTGCAATTGTCCGAAGTATGAGTCAATTGCCAAGCATCTGGATTTTGATCGCGTGACCGTGCTGATGCTGTAACGGTCATAAGTTTGAAAAATGGTTATAAGTCACTTTCTTCAGTGCTGTTGTAATTTTGAACAGTCACTAAATGAACTGTTGTAAATCGAGGACTACCTGTACAGTATTTCAAGTTCAACACGGCAGTGCAGGGCATGCAAAACATCCCCTGGTTTAAGGATAGCATAAAGGATCCAGTGTGGGGGAATGCAGCCAACCACAAATGTCATGCTTCCAGCCAAGAGCTCAAAATATTGAAAACAATTTTTAAAATTGTTAGTCATAGTTCTTTCCAGACCCTAAATCAAGATTTAACGGAGATCCTTATGTATGTTTCAGAAAGAATAATTTGCAAGTTCTACAAAGCAAAGCTTGCCTAGGCCATCTTAAACTTGGTAGATGTGGATCCCTACTCATATGCGTTAAAATATATGAATTTGGAAGCAAATGCTGATGCTAATTGGGACTCACTCTGTTGCTTCAAGAGGAAACATGGATTCCTTAAAGGCTTTGTCCTCACATCTGAACAAAAAATGTGTGTCTGCCTTGTGGGCTTGTATGTTAATGCCAAACCATGCCACACCCTACACCACCAGTTGAAACCCATGTACCCCAAAACAAAAACTGAGAACTTAATCAGTAGTGTATCTTACATTTTACAGAAACCGAAAATTACAAACTATATACAAGCAGCATCACCACTAGCCACAGGATTGCAGTTGCCACTGGAGCAGCCATTGGCAGTTGTTTTACGACACAGAGCAACACCGTACAATAGTTTGGTACAGCAAGTAAGTAATAACTGGCACCCTGCTGCCCAGCCAGCATGGGCAGTTAGTGAAAGTCGGCCAGAACATTAGGAGTACACATGTCCATTCCTGAAGACAGCCTGAAAGTCCCAAGAGCTAGATGGGGTCTAGCCAGGCTTCCACCTAGACCAGGGGAGCAAGTCTGTGAGAGGCAGATCATGATACTAGAACAGATATCAAACAGGAAAGGCCTGGCTTCACAGCAAAAAACAACAACATACAATTGAGGGCCTAGGGTGGGCTGGGGTTCTCATGGAGTAGATCACAGGTCAGATTTCCCAGCAGCAGCCGATGATGACGAAGTTGGTATTTGCAGTGGTGAAGAAGAAGAAACCTGGGGTTGTGACTGCTCCTTTGATTGACACTGAGAGGTGTCAGCATTGGCTGCCTTGAGGGTGCAATTTTCAGTGGCAGAGCTGGATGGGGAATGGCTTGTGCAGGCGATGCCAACTTGTTCAGGCACCTGAAGGAAATCAGGCAGTATTAGATCCTCCTTGGACAGTAGCCCACGCTGGTCATTGACCCTGCAGTTCTGTGCACGACTCAGCAGTTCCAGTAGCCCTAGGGGAGAAGAAGTACTTCATTGTATCTAAAATGATAATTGTTGGGGGCTGAGTACTCTCAGGATGTGTTGGTCTGCAACCTAAATCATTCCTCATGAACCAGGCTGATGGGACCTGGAATTGAATAACATCTGGAGAGCCACCCAGCCATTCTTCATACTGTCACTCTACAAACACCAGTATTTAACTCTTTCAACTTGCTTACATTAATTAAATATGCCATTAATAGTTTTGGTTTCCCTAGGAATCCTAAAGGAATCTTGAAGAGGATGCTAAAACTCTCACAGAGCTCTTAGAGTCTTAAAGAAGATACTACAAATCCCAGATCCCTTGGCATAGCTATTGCCATTTAGTTTGCAAATTGTGCACCTGGCAAGTGCTCCACATGAAAGGGGGCATCAGGAAAGAGACACAGGAGATGCAATGCCAACAACAAAGGCTTGCACCTTCACGCGTATGTACCCAGCCACTGAGACCAGTAATAGAGACTATATTCACAATCCAGCAGGCCCTTGCATAATTTTTGTTATGTAATTGTATTTAATCCACCCACATCTTGCTGTACTGCCTCACTACGGCAAGGAAGCATTCCTGGAAGGATGAGCAGAGCTGGGAGTATAAACTCCCAGCAGGGTCACCCATGGCATGAAGGTCATCCCAAGTAAGACTAACAGGCACCTATATTGGGGGCAGCAATATAAAAAGATGCTGATGATCACTTTAGTAGACATCCATTCATATTATGTCAAAAGAATACAATAGTAAATCTCTACTGTATTTTACCAAAAAGAACCCATTGACAGAACATATAAAATTGAAGATAAAGTGCTGGATGATGGCCCCTCAGTTCAGCTGGAACTGAACATTTTACTGTGGAAAAGCTGCTAATCTTTCAGAAGACTAATTGTGTTTATGATGTGGCTAGACTAAAACTCTTTGGGACATCTTGTTTGCTTTGCCATATAGGTATGAAAATCCAAAGCTGCAAAGGCAGAATTAGTGGGAACATGGTACATAAGAAGCATGAACCTGGGAAAGCTCAACACGGTGAAAGATGAAATGAAGCAACTACAAATTGATATCTATGGAATCGGCAAATTCAGATGTGGAGAAGGATACTTTCAGTCAGAAGATTATACAGCTTACTATACAGGACAAGAAAAACAAAGAAGGAACCACATTTTTTTATAGCTAGTAAAGATACAGCAAGAATAGTACAGGTAGTCCTCAATTATCGATGGCAATTGGAATCAGAATTTGCTGTTGCTTAACGACATGAACATAAAGTGTGACATCATCTAACTGCTTTGCTTAGCAACGGTAATTCTGGCACTCCCAGTTGCCCTTGTTAAGTGAATCACCACAAGTTGTACAGCAAGAATGTCATGTGGTCACCATTTGAGACCTTCTAGCAGCCTCCCCACTGGTTTTGCTTGTAGAAGCCAACAAAGAAAGTCGTAAATGGCAACCACAAGACTGTGGGATGCTGCAATGGCTGGAACTCCAAAGATTGGTTGTTAAATACCATTCATTCTGTGCTGAACAACAAGTTCAGATTGTTGTTGAATGAGTGGTTGTTAGCCAAGATGACCTGTATGCTCAGTCTATATTAAGGGAAACTGGAAGAGGTGATGTTAAAACTGGAGGAAGAAACATCAGTAGCCTATACTATGCTGATGACATTACTCTAATAGCCAAAACTGCAAAGAATTTGCAAAGTCTAGGAATAAAAATCAAGAGCACAGTGAAAAAGGGGACAAAGACTAGAAGATCAACCTAATCAGCCTTAGAACTGACAATGAAGATGCTATATTGAAGTGCTGGATATCTTATGCCTTTTAGGATTGACTATCAACACTAACGGACCAAGCAGTCAAAAAAATACAGTATGCCACAAATTAGCACTTAATAAATAGCCATGCAGGCCTTAGAAAAGTTATTCAGATGCTGTGATGTGCCAATAGCTACAATGGTAATGATATTCCCCATGATACTTTATGGCAAGAAAAGTTGGACTTTGAAAAAAGCAGGATAGAAAGAATATTGTTCTGAAATTTGATGTTGGAAAAAACTCCTGAGAATACTGTACTATGGACAGCCAAGAAAACAAATAAATGGACTATCAAAAAAAAATAAATCCAGAGTTTTCACTTGAACTACAATAATCAGGCTTAAATTATCTTACTTTGGACACATTGTGCAAAAACCCAATTCTCTGGAGAAGACTCTAATGCTGGGAAAGATAACAGGAAAGAGAAGAGCATAACCAACAGCACAGCGGATAGACTCGGTTATGCTGGCGATGTCCACCATTGGAAGACCTGAAGAAAAGCTATTTATATAATTGTTTTGACATTGACTTGATGGCACATAATTAATCATATTTAATAAATGTTGAATATTAAAAAGGGTGTGTGCTAACTTGTATGCCAACAGCGCCTTTGGGACAGGAAATGACAAACTTGCTTTCAATGCAATTTAATCCCTATGACCTCTCCAGTTTTCTTTCCATTTCTTCCCTGCCTTTCTGCCCATCTATATCTCAGTAGGCAATGTGATATAGTGGTTAGTGTTGAACTTGAATCAGGGAGATGTAGGTTTAAATTCCAATTTAAATTCCCAAGCTACTATGAACAGATCCCTCTCTTCTTGCTTTCCAAACCAAGTGCTCCAGAGCTGTACACCTGGTTATTTGCTGCCAGAAAGTGTAATTTATAAAAATATACCCAAATTATCATGGCTTGGTTCTGCTTAATTTCTGAGAGTTACTAATTTTCTAGAGAGCCAGTCTGGTGTAGTAGTTAAGACACCAAGCTAGAAACTGGGAGACTTTGAGTTTTAGTCCTGCCGTAGGCTCGAAGCCAGCTGGGTGACCTTAAGCCAGTCATTCCCCTCAACCTTGGGAAACAAGCAATGGCAAGCCACTTCTGAAAACCTTACCAAGAAAACTGCGAAGACTAGTCAAGGCCATCCCCAAGAGTTAACACTGACTCAAAAGGTATGTATACACACATACACACACACACACACCCTAATTTATAAGCATCCCCCTGACCTCCTCAACTTTATTAGGTTGCAAGCTAAGACCAACATGCTTTACCTTCCATGTCATACGTGTGGCGGTTCTGGTTACTCTTGATGGATTTGGTAAAAGGACAGGACATCGCCGGGAATGGGTCACTTTCAGATTCTGTCTCCACAGTACTGTCATCCTA